TATTTTTTAACATTCAAACATTGATAAAGTGCGGCCAAATTAGAGTGTAAATAGTATCTAAATTGCATAATCATAGTCTACTATCAACACACCACACTTAAACCTTTTCTCGTCCTCGAGCAATCAAACCACACTCTACAGAGGCCTAACTTCCCTAAGCGACTTCCCTAACTCGTCACATCAAGAATATTCCACATGATTGAACAATCAAACCACACTCTATTAGAGTAGCTCTTACTTTATCAAAACAGTACATCTTTCTTCTTATTTCCTTAGTTCCAGTCAAAAGCCACACCCAGCACCCCACACTTTAACTTTTACAAAGTTCATAACTATTCAAGTGCTCATGAGAGGTTAAAAGGTTCAAATAGATGGTTAATTCAAACAAATGGGTAAGGCTTGTAGTATGGTTGCCAAAGAAATAGGATTACAGGGTTAACTACGATACATAACAAATGGGTGGATAAAGTTTATATATGGTTCAACAAAGAAACGCCTATATCACTTCCCAGACTAAACAAGACTACTATTTCGCTTTGCAGACAAATGGGGCAAGTTCTAGGCATCAAATGTCGTGCACAGAATACAACAAGCCTCACACACACATGGCACATGACTCACTCCAGATTGGGTCATCAAACACTCTGATCGGGGTACTTAAGCCAATTAAGAACATACAGTTTAAGGCATTCTTACAAGAGTCGACAACTGAGCCTAAGCGTCACACTAAAGTACCCGCTATATCAAGGAATTACGATGTTAAGAGATCCTATTTCTATTTCTGCCCATCCCACAAGTTCCTACTGACAAAAAAAGACTAACTACACCCGGTTCAAATGAAACCATTGGAAAAGAACTGTGGCTTAAAGAAAACCCAAGGGGGAATTGATACACTACCACAAAAGAAAAAAAAATTGTGTTTTTTTTTTTAGACTTTAGTCCCTTAAGAAACCCGTCGAATAATATCCATCGTCGGGACAAGTCGAAAATGATTTAGGTAAATAAACTACGAAACTAATCTACATACAACAAACCAACAAAGTATCCCCCACCCCACACCTAAAATGATGGCATGTCTCCATGTCATACAAAATAAAGTAATGTGAGGTAAAGGAACTTCCCTGGAAGATCAGTCTTGATCGGAGACGGTGCCGAGGTCGAGATGACACGCCCTCCCCAGCGCACGCAGCCAGCCCATGATTTTCTTCTCCGACTTCGCATTTTGGGTGGCCAAGGTATCAACTCTAGTCCCTAATTCTGTGACGGAAGTGCGCAGCCCTGCCATTTCCTGTTCTAAGGCTGTCATCCGCGTACTCCGTATGACTGCAGATGTTCCTCCAACCGCGGCTACTTGAAAAGAAAGTAGAAGTATATTACTTACTTGAAGATCTTGTGAGGAATGGAGCTTGGGTAGTGGTTTAGTAGAGAAGAGGGAGAAAGAGAGGAGATTTTGTTGAGTTAAATAAAATTGGGGAGAAGAATGAGGCGGGGTTCGTTGTTTATGTTTCGGGGAAGGGGGGACGGGTTTTATATTTGTTTTTGTTAGGGGGGAGGGAAAAGAAGTGGGGGAGTGGACGGATAAGGGGGGAGAATAATTTAAAAAACTAATTAAAAGGGAAGAAGAGAAAAGAAAAGGAAAAAAAATAAAAAAAATTATTTTACTTGAAAAACCTGAACGGTGCCAGCTCCGCGGTCAGATACGCGGCCGGGGACAGAACACTATGCAAAATCCGTGGTCGATCCGCGGATTGAGGCAAAAAAGAAATTTTTGCTTTTTTCGCACTTTTGCCTATCTCCGGGATAATTTCGTCACCCCGAGTCCTTCCGCTGCGCATACCTTCGTTCTTGCACCTTAGTAGATCGATCAATATTGTCACCGTTCAAAAATCAATTACAAAAATAAGAACAAAGAAAAAAAATAATGGGTTGCCTCCCAAAAAGCGCCTAATTTAACGTCGCGGCACGATGATTTACAACAAACCATGGGTTGCCTCCCAGGAAGCGCCTGATTTAACGTTGCGGCACGACGCAGGCTTTCATTATTACTCCTCGCTCGTGTATTGGGGCTCTTCCAACGATATCACAACTCTATCCCCCTTTTTTTCGACCATTCCAAGGTAATGTTTCAACCTTTGCCCATTCACCGTGAACTTATTTGTTCCATCTTCGGATTCAATTTGTGTAGCTCCACTTGAGAACACTTGCACCACTCTGAAGGGTCCTGACCATTGGGACTTCAATTTACCCGGAAACAATCTTAGTCTCGAGTTGTATAACAACACTAGATCTCCGCGTTTGAAGCTCTGATCTAGAATATGCTTATCATGCATCATTTTCATCCTTTCTTTGTACAATCTTGCATTCTCAAATGCATGGAACCAGAATTCCTCGAGTTCATGTAACTCAGTGACTCTACTAGTGCTTGCGGTCTCCATATCCAAATTCAACTGCCGCAGTGCCCAAAGGGCTTATGCTCAAGCTCCACCGAAAGGTGGCATGCTTTTCCAAACACCAACTTGTATGGTGACATACCAATTGGAGTTTTAAATGTTGTGCGGTACGCCCACAATGCATCATCCAGTTTCTTTATCCAATCAGTCCTTGTCGCATTCACTGTCTTGGTTAGGACACTTTTGATTTCCCGGTTTGACACTTCGACTTCCCCGCTCGACTGTGGGTGATAAGGTGTGGTCACCTTATGGCGAACTCCATACTTTTCCAACAGTCGTGCGAACGTTCTATTGCAAAAATGGGTTCCACCATCACAGATTATAGCTCTCGAGGCACCAAAACGCGTGAATGTGTTTTTCTTTAGAAATCCCGTCACCCCTTATGCATCATTGGTTGGGAGAGCCACAGCTTCAACCCATTTGGAGACATAGTCAACTGCCACCAGTATGTATTTGTTACCATACGAGCTGACGAATGGACCCATAAAAAATCAATCCCCCACATGTCAAATACCTCCACCTCTTGAATAGTTGTCATCGGCATCTCGTGACGTCGAGATATGTTGCTTGTCCTTTGGCACTCATCGCAACTTTTCACCCAAGCATGGGCATCCTTGAACAGGGTTGGCCAATACAAACCCGATTCCAACACCTTAGCCGCTGTCCGAATTCCTCCAAAGTGTCCGCCATATGGTGAAGCATGGCAAGCCTGCAAAACAGAATGTTGATCATTCTCGGGGATACACCTCCGGATCATGTTATCTACACATATTTTAAAAAGTAGAGGTTCATCCCAACAATAAGAACGGCAATCGCAAAAGAACTTTTTCTTTTGAATTGAAGAGAGTTCATAAGGTACAATACCGCTTGCTAAAAATTAGCAATATCAGCATACCATGGCGTATCCTACATTGTCACTGCTAGTAACTGTTCAGCCGGGAATGTCTCGGTTATATCTTCAACCTCTACCTTCTTTTAGGCTCCTTCCAACCTTGAGAGGTGGTCTGCTACTTGGTTCTCTGTCCCTTTTCTGTCATGGATCTCCAGATCAAATTCTTCTAGCAAAAGAACCCAGCGGATCAAGCGTGGCTTTGACTCCATCTTTGCTATCAAGTACCTACTTTTTGCACGGTCAATATAAACAATAACTTTTGAACCAATCAAGTACGACCTGAATTTGTCGAATGCAAAAACTACAACCAACATCTCCTTTTCCGTCACGGTGTAATTGAGTTGTGCACCGCTTAGCGTTCTGCTTGCATAGTCAATTGGGTGCATCAGCTTATCCTTTCGCTGCCCCAAAACTGCTCCTATAGCATAGTCACTTGCGTCGCACATGAGCTCAAACGGTTGCTCCCAGTTGGGTGCAAAAATGATGGGTGCAGTCACCAATCTCTTCTTCAGCTCCTCAAATGCCAACCTGCTTAGAAAACACAAAGGGTTGATCCTTTTCAAGGAGTTTACATAAAGGTTTAGCAATCTTAGAGAAATCTTTTATGAATTGCCTGTAGAACCCAGCGTGCCCAAAGAAACTTCTCACTGCCTTGACCGAAGTGGGCGGTGGCAACTTCTCAATCACGTAAACCTTAGCATGGTCAAGCTCAATTCCTTTACTGGACACTTTATGCCCCAAGACTATCCCTTCTTGTACCATAAAATGGCACTTTTCCCAATTCAGCAATAAATCTGTCTCCACACATCTTCTGAGAACTCTTCTTAAATTGTGAAGACAGTCCTCGAATTAATCCCCCACCACGGAGAAATCATCCATAAATACCTCCATAATGTCTTCAACCATGTCCGTGAAAATGGCTAACATACACCGCTGGAATATAGCCGGTGCATTGCAAAGTCCAAAAGGCATTCTCCGAAAGGCAAAGATGCCATACAGACAGGTGAAAGATGTTTTCTCTCTATCTTCGGGGGCTATTGAGATCTGATTGTACCCCAAATATCCATCCAAGAAACAGAAGTGAGATCGCCCAGCCAACCTGTCCAACATTTGATCAATGAATCGTAAAGGGAAATGGTCCTTCCGGGTAGCTGTGTTCAATTTTCGATAATCCATGCAAATTAGCCACCCCGTGACTGTACGAGTCGAGATCAACTCGTTATTTACGATCGCCATTCCTCCCTTCTTTGGTACACACTGAACAGGGCTGACCCAATTGTTGTCAGAGATGGGGAAGATGATACCAGCATCTAACCACTTGATCACTTCCTTCTTCACCACCTCTTTCATATTCGGGTTCAGCCTTCGTTGATGTTCTCTGGAAGGTTTGTGCCCTTCTTCCAAGAGAATCTTGTGCATACAAAAAGCTGGGCTGATACCCTTTATGTCTGCCATGGTCCAACCAATAGCAGTCTTACATTCCTGTAATACCTGTAGGAGTTGCTCTACCTGCACAGCTAGCAAACCGGATGATATAATAACAGGTAAAATAGAATTAGGCCCTAAGAAAGCGTACCTGAGGTGAGCTGGAAGCGGTTTCAGGTCCAACTGTGGTGGCTCCTCTATTGATGGTTTCGTAGGTGGTGTTGTTGTTTCTTCTAAGTGTAGGGGCTCGAGCTGGGTTCCCTTTTCCAGAACCCTTGACCTTCGAGAGCCATGACCCACTCTGCCAACTCCTCACCATCCACATTTTCCAGATTCATCAAGCAGGCTTGTAACGTATCCCTGACATTAATAGTCTCATCTTCCTCTTGTAGTATTACATCTACGGCCTCCACTAGCGAGCAATTTGCAAATTCGCTGGGTCTCCTCATAGAGTGTTGAACATTGAATATTATTTCTTCATTGTTCAACCTCATTTTCAATTCTCCCGTCTCACAATCAATCAATTCTCTCCCAGTGGCTAAAAACGGTCTTCCCGGAATGATTGGTATATCTTCATCCACTTGACAGTCAAGAATGACGAAGTCTGCAGGGAAAATAAATTTTCCCACTTGAACAAGCACATCATCAAGAATTCTTGTCAGTCTTTTGACTGTGCGATCAGTCAGTTGCAGCAACATGGAGGTCTGTCTAGCTCTACCAATGCCCAGTTTTGTATAGATTGCCAAGGGCATCAAGTTTATACTGTCTCCCAAGTCACACAATGCTTTAGCAAAAGCATAACCCCCAATGGTGCATGGGATAGTGAAACTACCTGGATCAGACACCTTTTGAGCCATAGGCCTTGTCCCTACCGCACTGCAGGTCTGTGTCAGAGTTACAGTGGACAAGTCCTGGAAGTCAAATTTTTGCGACATCAGGTCCTTCATCATTTTTTCATACCCTGGCATTTCCCTTAAAGCATCCATTAGTGGAATATTCAATTGAATTTGTCTGAGCATTTCCATGAATTTCCTGTATCGATCATCTTTCTTTTGCTTTGCCAACCTCTGAGGGAATGGTGCAGGAGTCAACCTTTGCCTACTGCTTTGTGTCGTTTCTTTGATGGGAGCTTTTTCTACCACCTGTTCTAGGAGTTGTTCACCTTCCTACTCCTTACCCTTTTCACCATGTGACTGTTCAATTACAACCTCGGTGAGCTCTGCTGACTCATCTATCTTTAATGTAACTGGAGTAGTTGGCATTGTCTCTCTCCTAGATTGAGAAACTTCTCGCTCCCTGTCTAAATCTCTTCCATTCCTGAGACTCACTGCCATGAGCTGATATGGGTTCTGCTCCTTTCGATTAATGTTTGTATCTGCAGGCAATGTTCCTTGTGGGTGATTATTCAAGGACATAGATAGCTGTCCTAATTGAGTTTCAATGCCTTTGACTATTGAATCATGTGTAGCTAACATCTCTTGCATCTTTCCATTTGTCCCAATGAGTTGTTGCAGCATGCCCTTGATTTCGATCATGTTACTGTCTTGCTGCTGATGAGGTGGTTGGTAGGCCAACTGTTGCTGGTGCTACTGATTATAGCCTTGCTGTCTTTGATAAGGCACGACTTGGCCTTGTGGTCGTGCTCCTCCTGGATTGGGGTTGTGCTGTGGCTGGTTTGTTCTGTACTGCTGGTTTGATGTTGGTCCCCATTGCTGCCCACCTTGCCTCTGACCTCTGAAATTATTGACATAATTTATGTCTTCTCTGAAACCCTGGTTGTCACTCTCTCCACTCCACAAGCACACATATGACTGATTTATGCAAGGAGTGCATAGGCCTCCATTTGTGGTATCAACAATGTGCACCTATTTCGTACCCATCTCATCGATTTTCTTTGTCAGCAAGCTCATCTGGTCATGAGAGTGGCTATGTTTTCTGCATTTGTGTTGTTTGGGTCAAGAGCGACAGAATGCACTATTGGAGTGAGTGTTGTGTCTCTCGTCATCCAGCCTGAATTTTGAGACACCTTGTCAAGAAGAATCCTACACTCTGTGAATGTTTTGCTCAAGAATGCACCCCCGGCAGAAGCATCTACATTGGCCTTCAGACTATTAGCCAAACCCATATAGAATCTCTATCCCAGCATCTGTCCGGAATGCCATGGTGCGGACACTTCACCAACATCCCCTTAAACCTCTCCCAGGTTTCTTGCAAAGTCTCAGTCGATTTCTGCCTGAATTGCAATATCTCATCAATCTGCCTCGCAGTTTTGTTGGGTGGATAAAACTTGTTCAAGAACTGCTTGACTAGTTCCTCCCAAGTAGCAATGGAGTTTATTGGGAGCGAATTCAGCCAAGTTTGAGCCTCCCCAGTCATTGAGAATGGGAACAGTAATAATTGGATTGCCTCAGGAGTCACATTCGGCTGTCTTTGAGTGACACAAATTGATAGAAAGTTCTTCAGATGTTGTTGTGGGTCTTCGATGTATGACCCGAAGAACAGCCCTTTATTCTGCAACAGGTGCAGCATGTTGTTGGTAATCTAGAATGTCTCCGCTTGTATCTGAGGAACTGCAATTGTTGTGGCTAGGTTATCAGCAGTTGGTTGCGCCCAATCATAAAGAGCAGCTTCCGGCACAAGAGGTGCTACCACTCTGATGTTTGGGTCAACTCGATCATTCCTATTGTTTCCATTGATGTTCTCAGCATCGTCCATTTCAATTTTGAGTTGCTCATTTTGTTGTAGTTGTTTGCCCTTCTTGTTAGCCCGATTCAATGCCCTAAATGCATTTTCGGGATCTAAGAGTCCTTCAAAAAGTTCTCCAGTTCTCAAAGAGCTTCTAGGCATTCACCTGAGTCACAGAAGAGTTCAAATGTGATAAATTTGATATAGACTAAAAATCCTAGCAATTCTTTCAAGTTGCAATAAATAACACTGTTAGTTCCCCGGCAACGACACCAAACTTTGATCACGCCCAACTATGCCTTATAAAAAGGACTAAGCGGCCGCTGCAAATATAATTCGGTTCAAGTCCGAAGTCGAATCCTACAGGGAACTAACCTATTTACACAAACTTTTAACATTGCTAATGAATAGCTCAAACAATTCCCGGATGCAAGATTTGTAATGGATAATGAGTAGAATTTAGTTAACTTAGGCAAAATGATAATAAAACTAACGATAATCAAGAATAGAGTTGAATTCAATGGTAAAATGGTCTAGGGTTATTGATTTCCCCAATTGTCGGATTAGTTCCTGACACGTTAGCTATAATCTCGTCGTAACACTCTATAAGGAATATGAGTTCTGGGCTACCGCAATTATCTCTCAATAAATTACGATAATTTACTAGAAGTATTCTCTCGAACTACTCTAGTTAACAATTTATGCAACTCAGAATTATCCCACCAAAGATTCGTTATCTCTAACCCTGGTTTTAAATTCAAGTAATTAATCTCTTAACTTACCCGAAAGTGGTGTTGTTCAATAACAATCTAACCAAGTGTTCTTTCTCAAGCAACAGAAGATAACTAGACATGATTAATTAAGGGCCCTTTCAATTAATCACAAGACAACACGTAGTTGAACAATCATAGAGTAAAAACGGCTCAATTATATCAAAATAGAGTCAAGATTTCATCCAACAATTTGTTCCATCAACCCTAGATGACGGGTTTAGCTACTCATACTAATAGATAAAAATTCACTATAGAAAGTCATAATCAACGATGGAATTAAAAAGAAGAAGATGAAAACTCTAAGGAAATTCTTTGTCTTTCTCTCGTGTTCTTGCCTTCAAAATCCCTCTAAAAATAGCTCTCCTTCTCTTTTGAACGAATTAGGCTTCATATAGGTTTAGGTTAATCGCCCTGGAAATTACATAATTGACCCTGGGTTATAGGCTTCCGTCAGCTCGTCCGCGGCCGCGAATTGGACTACGGATCTGACCGCGGATTTTGCCCATGGTTCTGTCCGCGGCCAGACCTGACCACGGATTTCCCACTTGCTTTTCTTTCTCCTTTTCGACCGTGCTAACCTTCGATTGGCCTTCCACGCTCCATATTGACTCCAAAACACTCTTTAGCTTCCTCATAGCTCGGAGTAGCTCTTGCAAAACATAAAACTCTTAATTAGAGCATTTTGTTATCTTTTAACATTCAAACATTGATAAAGTACGGGGCCAAATTAGAATGGAATTAAAAAGAAGAAGATGAAAACTCTAAGGAAATTCTTTGTCTTTCTCCCGTGTTCTTGCCTTCAAAATCCCTCTAAAAAAAAGCTCTCCTTCTCTTTTGAACGAATTAGGCTTCATATAGGTTTAGGTTAGTAGCCCTAAAAATTACATAATTGACCCTGGGTTATAGGCTTCCGTTAGCTCGTCCGCGGCCGCGGATTGGACTGCGGATCTGACCGCGAATTTTGCCCATGGTTCTGTCCGCGGCCATACCTGACCACGGATTTCCCACTTGCTTTTCTTTCTCCTTTTCGACCGTGCTAACCTCCGATTGGCCTTCCACGCTCCATATTGACTCCAAAACACTCTTTAGCTTCCTCATAGCTCGGAGTGGCTCCTGCAAAACATAAAACTCTTAATTAGAGCATTTTGTTATCTTTTAACATTCAAGCATTGATAAAGTGCGGGGCCAAATTAGAGTGCAAATAGTAGCTAAATTGCATAATTATAGTCTACTATCAGGTACTATTGGGTGCAGCCTTAGAACACCGATGTTTCATGTTGGGGTCACTTGGGATAGTTTTGATTGAGGTCCATAGTGTACTGGGAAAGAGTAATGTTGCCTTGGAGGTGGGTCATGAGTAATTTGAAAAAGTTGGGTTAGAATAGCAGCGGCTTGAGTCAGCATGGTAATAGAGATTATTGGATCCTTTGGTATGATAGGGCTTTGCATGTGCTTTGTGACAAGACTTTTAGGTTGACAATCTGCATGACTAGGTTGATTTAGAGGGAATCAATTCTGGTGGTTTGGCTATGTACAAATAGGTTCCGAGGAGTTTGCGATGGTTTTGACCATGATTTGCGGTTGATGTCTTCTACAGGCATGGGAAGTTTGTTACGTATTGTGATTTTCTCCTGTAATGAGTTAAGGGTAAGGTTTCTAGTCGATGTAGCGTGTATCCTATTCATAATTCAGAGTTTATAATGGGATTCTCGTATTTTCATATGATAGCATAATAAATGCAGAGAGGCATATGAGAATGGGATTAAATGGACAAGGTTGCAATTCAATTTTAAAAGGAGGGTCATATGTACTAGACATCATGAGAGATATTAGATGCTTAAGAGAATGCTAGAACTTTCCTGGATCGCTTGAGGAGAGTGTGTGTTGCAGAAGCACATTATGTATTTATCTGCGGATGCTTAGCTAAAACTACGGGAATTGCATGGTGATTAATGGTGCTCAAGATTTGCTGCTTGGAGTGGAGATTTATAGAAGTATTTCTCAGGATGTGATTGTGTACGAGTGATGTGGCAGTTACCTAAGTGGGGAAGTTATAGATCGGGTATGAAGATTTTATATCCTTGATGCTTAGAGATTGAATTCTCGTAGAGGTAGGCTATCCCTTGATTACGGCTGTGGAAGTGTGTTCAGGCTTTGAAAGCCGATTGTATGTGTCATGGATAGAGTCACTGTGGACTTTTGGAAGGCTATTTACCTACTTTGGAATGATCTTAATCAGTTTGGAGGCCCATTGGTAGGCCTAATGAGAATGTGTATTTTATGTTGGATTTGGTTTGCGTACTCATTGCAGCATTTTTCTAAGGGTGTGTCGTCTGGTATAATGGATCTTATTCATGCCCTGATCTATTTCATGTGTTTTTCTCTTATGCTTTGATAGGTTGTGAGACTACTTGATTATTCACACGCATTGGTGCGATCCTGCTTTGGCCTTGTAGCGATATATGAGCGAGGTGGCTCTTGAGCTGTTGATTTGCTATTGCACCTTAGTCGTGCCTGCCTTTTTTAAA